CATCTTAATAATTTCTATGGTTTAAAATTGAAGTTGTATAGCAGGCATTAGAAAAAGTTATTGTAGACTAATGAAACTTCAGCAATGTATTTGTCTAGGTAACATATTTAATTGACTCAACTTTCAAGGTCACAGGTTAATAAAAGGGCGAGAAGAGTCATCTTTAATGTGAAATGATGATACATTAAAAACCGGTGTAACTGGCAGAATTTTAAATGCAAACATGCATACATTGTTTCATACAAGTATCGGGTATCAGTTTGTGGGATGGAATTGCAAGTCTGTTGCTCTTGATCGGTCAATATAAAGTTGTTTAGTTCCCGTTGGAATGACACTGTCGTTGCCGTCCAATGCTGTCCCGTTGGTGCTTGATTGGAAAAAGATTTGGTGATCAAGCAAGCCAAAGTAACACTCTGACACTCTAATAAAGCATGTTTTTATCCTGTTGGAAAACACTTCTTCAATGATGTTCATAAATTCAGTGTAACCGTTTTAATCCCCAGACTGACGTACAAGTTTGCAGTCAGGGTGTGTGAATTAACCTCGAGTGCTCTTGCAATCGAAGAAAATTGCTCACACCAGACCATAACTCTAGGTGCAGGCCCAGTGTGTCTAAGCCACAGAGAGGTTGTTTGCAGGCCTTGATCTGGCCGTCTTCTAACCAATATACAGCCATTATCATACTGTGGCGTAACATACACCCTCCCAAATTGGAATGTATGACAGAATTCTTGGGGCCTTAGCCTGACTGATGCCAAGAACGCCTTGGAGCCCTAAATCATTCAAGCAAATCATTACAATAAGATGAGTGTGAATTTTATATTAAAAAGATCTAGCCTACTAAAATCTCTAGAAAATTATATCCAAAATTTCAGAAATGAATTTTTAAAAATAAAACTAGAAGCAACTGATTTATAAGGACTCTCATTTGAAGAGGAAGCTGGGCAAGCTCACAGGTAACGGAAGAGAAAATTCTTCGGTGAGAGTAAAAGAGTCGTTTATGAATTTTTGAAAGAAGGAAACATTTCATATTGAATTCTTTTGGGCATATGCTATAGAGCAAGAGCAGAACTATCCTGAAGAGTTTATATGTATTGAACTGTATAGAACATTTTATTTTATTTTTTGACGAGAGATTATACCTGAAATTAAGAAGAAACCTACTCAAAAACTAAAGGAAACTTACAAAGACGATATTGAATCTTAATTTTGACTATATTAATCGGACCAGCTTTTACTATTTTTATTAGAAAACTAAGATACAATAAAGATCCCCACTAGAAACTTATCGAGTTGTAAGAGAAATCCTAATGTATAGATACTTTTAAAAATATTTTAACAATATCGATATAGAATGCATCAGGTGAGAGATCTTCAGTTTTAAACCCATTTAAAAATTATTTAGGAAATACTATGGGAGAGAAGACAAATTAAACACAACTTGGCCATATGGAACACAAAATGTTTGGGATTAAACAGATACGGTAAAAATAACTGATGAATTTGCCAATGAGAAATCAAGAAGTAAAGTTGTATAGCAAAACTGTAAACTCTTAAGTAAAAAGAGAGGTCTTAATTTTTTTTAAATACAGTTAAGATTTTTCTTTAGCTGTTGAGTTTTTTTTTATTAGTTATACATGTTAATTTGAGGTAAGCGTATCTCTTCTCTATTTTAGTTGTTCGACTCTTGAGCCCATGGGCCTCGAACCTTTTACCGCCAGGGGCCTCCAACTACCTTAATCTGCCCCTCTCTCCAGTGTAACACATGCGCGCGACTACCTGGAAAACGGTGGCATTTGGGAGCGAATCGCTAACTTTTAATCGGCAGTTGAAGTAGTAAGTATAAACCGTACATATTGTGAATATGAATGTTAATTTTTGTATATAATGTTGAATATGACAAGCCTATGGGGTCACTGTTAATTATTTAACTTGTTCTTAACTTAGTATTGTTAAATTAATTATAAAAAACATTGTGTAGTTGTGATATATTTGTAAGTGTAATATAAATATAATTTTTTTGTCTATTTTGTTTATTTACTAAAAGGAAATTAACAACTTTTTAAGATAATCTGTTGTTTTCGACTTTTCTATATGCTCGTGACCCCTCTCCCCTCGTTGAGTTATCACGCACACCAAGGCCGGAGCTTCCCAAAGTTTGAGAAACGCTGCTTTAATGTATAACTATTTTGAAAGGCGCATGATTGAGTTAAGTGTTTATGAACGTCTCACTTTAAAAAAACACGAGTACTATTGGCGATGGACCTCATAATTTTGAGCCATAGTAAAGGGATGAAGACAACCACCAAATGCTTTTGCTTCTTCACGGCAATGCATCTGCTCTTTCATCTCGAGAAACTGAATAGAATCAAAGCAATGTGGTCTTGCAAATTTTGCCCCTCCAACAAATTATTCCATTACGATACGAAGCGAATAATTCTTTTCCGTATTCTGAGGCCACGGTAGCCTAGTGGTCAAGGTATAGGATTCGTGGCTATCTTGTGGTGAGTGCGAGCCCAGCACCGCTTAAGACCCGCCATGTAGAGGGGAGATGCACATCAAATCTTTCGATGCTGAAATGTCATCCCGTTTGTGTTGTATGGAAGTTAGAGGGTGCCAGCTCAGGTGTCATCCTCATTACCTGACCATGGTTCAAAATTAAAAAGTCCATTGACGAAAGCCTTCGAGTAGCTCAAAAGTGCGAAGTTAATATTCATTCACTCACTCTTATTCTCTATTCTAAATAAAGATAACTAGTTCGGGGACTTGACAACACAGATGATTTCATTCAGGAGATGGAACAATAGGTTTCGAGGGAATTGCCTTCAAATGATGACCTTTGAAAGTTAAAAAACACTTGGAAAAACTCTGTATGGCAAATAAATTTTATTAGAGAAAATAATTAAAAATGAAATTCTAATCTTGAGAGCTTTTAGAAATAATCAAACCTTACAATATCATCAACATTTTGCAGAAATTAAATTTATATTGTTGCAAATATAAATTATTATATGTTCTACGCAATGAGCTTAATTACTGTTTGTTACATGATAAACACAATCACCCTTTTGAAATCAAAACTGAAATTAATATTATATTTGTTGTGTTCTACTTGTAAAATAATACTGCAATTTCACATTTAATAACTTTTAGCAAAGAAGTTTAATTAATAAGATTCTTTAAAAATATTTAAAAATCGGTGTTCTTTTTATATTATGCATGTATTTTTAAAACAAATACATTTTCTTTACCTATGGGTATTATTATTGTTTCCAAATATGTATATTTAAAAATATTTGCAAAAAGCAATAGTTAGCTGCAGCGAGGTACCTGAACTAATTGGCTTGAAAAACTTAATTAAAAGTATCATGTGACTATGGCGTCACCTTATAACGGGCTTATTCCTAACAATCCTCTTGGGGAATAACTTTCTTTAAATATTATTTAATTGAAAACTTCCTTCCGAAGAAGAAGACGTGGTATATGTATACTGCTGTTTGTAAAAAGTGCAACACCATGAAGGAATCATTAAAATTAAATAAAATTTTATGCACAAACGACTTGTATTAGTACAAATAAATGACGAAATTTTCATAGCAAAACAACAATATTAAATGTCCGAAATCAGTATTTGGTGTAGCCACCACGCGCTGCAATAAGTGTTGCTGTGCGACGTGGCATGGAGTCACAGATTTTGATTGTCTGCTTGTTGTAGAGAATTCCATATTGCTTGTATGCGCAGCCAAAGTTCGTCTGTTGAAGCTGCAGGACGCTGATCACGAACGAGACGCCGACCAACCAAATTTCACATGTGCTCAATAGGTTAACTATCCAGTGAATAAGCAGGCCTAGGAAGAAGTTGCATGTGTTGGGCTGAATAGAAATCTAGAACAGTCTTTGCAACATGTGTGTGTGCATTATCCTGCTGAAAGATAACTCCAGGGATGCTTTGAAAGAAGGGAACGACTTCGGGCTGTAGCACTTCACGGACGTACCTTTTGCTATTGAGATTACCCTCAATTCGTAGGAAATTGGATCGTCCATGATACGAAATCACACCCCAAATCATAACTCCGGGTTTTAGGTCACTATGTCGTTCGATAACGCACTCTGGAAGGCAGCATTCACTGGCATAGCGTCTAACACAAATGCGGCCATCATGGTCCCACAATTTGAAGCGTGATTCATTTGATAAGACAACTTGGGGCCAATCAGCTTGCCAGGCTCTGTGCTCATGAGCCCATTGCAGACGCAGCCGTCGATGGTTTGCCATGAGGGATATCCTGTATAAAGGCACCCTTGTCCGTAATCCACGGTTCAGCAGATGTCGACAAATTGACGAAGCCGACATTAGTACACCTGTAGCAGTAGAACAACATGCTCCCAACTGCCTGGAGGAAGCTGTACGATCATTCACCGCCATGCGGAGCAGGAGTCAATCATCGCGTGCTGACGTCACCTTCAGTCGTCAATTTCCAGTTTTGCGAAATGTTCGGTGCTCGTCGGTCTACTGCTTCAAACTCTCATCACTGTGGAACTATTCCGCTGTACACGAGCTCCTATTGTGCAATAGGGAAATCCTCCTCGGAGGCCCATAATCCTCCCCCCGTTCAAACTCCGTAATTTGTTGGAATTTCTCCTTATTTCATCGTGGAGGCATACTTAGGTCTCACTAAACTTTCGCCAGTAACAAATAATCGTTGAATATTTTCAACGTCCCACTACAGCCCTCTATTTATACGCTTTCAGCATCAGTTCAAAGAGCACTGCGCACACCACGCATGCGTGATGGCTCTGAAACTTTACTATTTTACGTAACATTCTATAATCGATATTAGCTGCAAAGTTCATTTAATTCTGATGATTCATTGATGGTGTTGCATTTTTTACAAACAGCAGTGTAAATTATGTCATGTATTTAAGTAATAGCTTTCGGGTTAGCAAGAGAGAGAGGTTAGAAGCTAAGGCATAGCGTAAAGATTAACGTAAGATAACGTAAAGCTAGACGGCTAGCTCAGTCGGTAGAGCACGAGACTCTTAATCTCGGGGTTGTGATATCGTGCGCCACGTTTGGCGAGAATTTAATTGATGAGCTATCACATCCATTAGTGTACGAGAGTTAGAAGGCCATAGTCAAAACAACACAATTTGTTTACTATTCGCAACAACGACACAAATTCAACAGGCTAAATTAAGAAATGCACCAATTGATAAATATGGAAGCAACATCGAAATAGACGAGATAATTGGAAAAACAATAAATCGGATCACTTTATACTTGCACTTTCAGGCAATACCCTTTCCTATATTTGAATTCAAATGGACCGAATCCAATTTAACATCTAATTGACCAAATCGTCAATCAAATAATCTAAGAAGTGATTTCGTCCAACTTTACGTAATCTTACGTTAATCTTCATGCTATCCTTTAGCTTTTAACCTCCTCTCTTGCTTGAACCCGAAAGCTATTACTTAAATATATGACATAATTTTTTTACATAGACCGCGTCTTCTTCGGGAGGAAGTTTTCAATGAAATAATATTTAAAGAAAGTTATTCCCGAAGAGGATTCTTAGGAAAAAATCGGATAGGCCCGTTACAACATGAATTTGTCAACTAATTAACTAGAAACACATGATTGTAGTTATCAATTTTCAATGGTGTCACGTTGATTTATACTATTCTAACATATTTATGAGTTCCTGACTTAATCTAAATTCATTTATATATATTTAGTTTATTATGAAGTTAAGTCTCAAAATTTTCAAATGAGGACTAACAGCCTTCCTCTTTAGACCATTTCTAACGACTCCTATTACGATATAATGTTCTAAACATTAGTGGACACATATTCTTCGCTATTAAATCAGATTGATTAAAGGAGTCGTTAAATTTGAGGCATTATCATTAACATTAAAAGATTAATGGGAGGTTCGGAGTGAAAGTGATCCGAACAAAGATGCTTTTACAAAATGAAGTCTAAAAATATGCTTAAGATAAAAGAGGCACCAAGCCATTTGTCTAATATCTTTCACATCATTTGAGATAAATTTTTTCTTTGTTCTTTCATAAAAAATGTTTCTATATTAAAATTATTCTATTTAAAATAATAAATAGCGTGCCATAAATTTATCTCTCGAATTAAATTTTAAGGGAGAGATTTTTTCAGATTCAACTTTTTTTTATCTCATAAAGTCAACAAAGTAGAAATAATTTCAAATTCTAACAAATAATTTATTTACTGACATCCATACTTTCTCCAAAAATCTAATGTTAATAAAATGTAAAAACCCACAAATAAGAAAAAGACGATTTTCTTCCTTCTAAAAGCGGGAATCATAAGAAAATAAATTATCACAATCCCTTAAAAGAGAACATAAATAAAAAATGTATACCCATAAAGAATCAATATACATGCTTGAGCAGCTGTGCCAAATAAATGTCTTAATAATTTTCTCTGCACTGTCTAGGAGTAATAAAATAAGTTTTTCTTGCGGAAAGTAATTTTTGTCTTTGTACTTTTTATCTCTTTTTTCAATCTCTTGAATCTTTTTACATTAGAATTACTTATTATTTCAGATATTTTATTTTTGCTTTTATCAAAAAAATTACATAGTAACTTCCATAACTCCTCAACTTGAAAGCTTAAGAACATGACAGTATCTACATTTATATTAATAATAATCTGAATAATGTGTAGTCTATCATAATAAGTTATAATTATATAATATTCATAATAATAATTTATGAACATAATTTTATTCATAAAGAGTTTCGTGGGTGTGGTAGCCAAGTGGTCTAGGCATCGGATCATGGCTAGCGTGTCATGAGTTCGATCCCAGTACCACTAAAGTGTAAGGGAGCGTTAAACCTGTTGAGAGATCAAACGTCCTCCCTTTGGTGTGGCAGTTAGGAGAGGGGGTAAAAGCTCAGGTGTCGTCCGCGTCACTTGACCATGGTTCAAAATTACGCGAACCCTCGCCAAAAGCCCTCGTGTTGCTAAGACAGTGCGACGTTAATATTCACTCACTCACTCGTATAAAGAGTTTCTCCTTAAACCTCGACACATGTGTCAATTTCAGTGCTCTAAAGTGAATTGTGTAGAACAAATAAACTATAATTAGGTTTCGAAGTAGCATTATACTTCCGATTTTGAAAAATACTTTTACATCTATTTTAACAATTTCATGAGCAAATTTTTAGATCCTTAATCTTTTTTTTTGAATTGGAAGAAAAACTGTAATTTTAATGAAGCTTCTATTTTTTTTTTTGGTCGAATGCACTCGATTGTAGTGCTTCTCAAACTTTCAATAACTGCGGCCCATTTTTCGATCATAATTTTCAACACGCGCTCCCCCATACAATAATAATACATTGAACGCAATAAAATATACCTTGATGCTAAAGCTACAATACAACATTAATTATAAACCATACAAATTATTAAAATATAAGTATTACATTTTGTACATGGCAAGCCCAAGTGAGGCACTAATAATTATTAAGCATATTTTTAATTTAATATTGATAAATTAATTATCAAAAGCATCGTGAAGTACTGATACATTTATAAGTATATCAGTGTAAGTGTGCATTTAATTTTTATTATGTCAGAATGTTAAATTTGTTTTACTACTTTTTAGTAATTTAATATTTATTTTAAATCTTCTACTTTCGACTTTTCAATAAGCTCACCCACCCTTTACAGTGGATATCACGCCTTCCTAGGGAGGAACGCCCCACAGTTTGAGAAACGCTGCTCTATTGCATTCAAATCGGTGGACTAGTATAAGTTTGAGGAGAAAAGTAGAAATGTTACAAGACGCAAACATTACGTTCACGATCTTGAAATGGATAGATGGGAACATGTAAATACAACTTGTTTTGCACAGGGTGTCCTAGGATTATTGGGAGAAACTTTATGTAGGAGACATCCCACGGATTCAAATTTGCTTCGCAACCCATGATCGGAAACATCTTCATTCAGCGATAGGTGGTGTTGTTCACAAGAGCATTGGAGGAAACAGATATGCATGGCCGCAGTCATTTGAGCTGTCGTTCCCCACAGAAAAGTATGAAATGTTTTACGAAAACAGAGCTGACAGATATGCACCTGATTTACGGATTAGCTAAAGGAAATGCACAGCAGAGAAATTGTTTCGCGAAAGGTACTCACAGAGAGATGCACCAGATTGCCGAATGTTTACTAATTTTAATCACAATTTGTTTTAATATGAATCATTGCGACTGAATAGACATAGTGAGGTCGGGCCACGAGTGACTTGAACTTCCAGCATGGGAACAAAATGTGTTGGTTACCATTTGAAGGAATACGAGTACCAGAGTAAGAGTCATCACTGCTCATTTAGAAGGATTTTGGAGTGGTGTCCATCGTATTTTGCAACGTGAAGGCTTACACCCATACCATCTTCAAAGAGTACTATCACAGCGGGGTACAGTAACGAATATCCAACAAAATCCAGGTGAATTTGAACGAGTCAGCCAGTCCATGATTTGACGGTGTAACGCATGCATAGCTAGGAAGGGTGACACAATGGTGGAAATTGTGAGCATCTTATGTGACATTTTCATATTTCACAGATCGCAGCACATCCCTTTGATCAATAAATATTTCAGATAATCTTAATGCTGTGTCTTCGTTTCTTGTTCCTGTCACATAACTTTCTAATGACGTGTCCAACCATGGGTTGCATGCAAATCTAAATCCTTCTGATGCCCCTTATTTACCCTTAAAGATTATTCCAATAATTCTGGGACACCCTATATATGAAACAATAGCGTAGTTTGATGACTTTTAATAAATTAGGAAAAAAAGTAATATAAAAAAAATTTTAGTCAAATTTTACTTTGAATGAACGAATAGAAAGTATTTTATTAACGATTAAAAGTTTGAACAAGATTATTTTTATTTATAGATATATAGGGAGACAGTGAACTAATAGTAGGAATTGAAAAAAGAGCATGATTTGTTTGCGTTGTTGTAATGATGCACATCCAGTTTGGTTGAAAAACCGGTATTCGATGCCAACTTTTGTCATTGTTTAACAGTTACATTCTTACAACAATGGAGACGAATCTAAGTTCGTGTCGAAAACCGGTAATTAATGAATTAATATTTGAAAAATCTACATATTACAACATCAAGCGGCATCCAGTACAAGTTTTAAAAAATTTATTTGAACTTGATTGGATGCATAAAAAGTTTTTTATTAACGATTGAAAATTTGAACAAGATAAATATATATATAAATAAATATATACATAGAGAGAGAAAGTGAGCTGATAGTAGGAATTGAAAAACATGCCGAACATCCGAATGTCAGTAATTCGCCAATATTTTTCATGCCCCCTACTTCCCTTTAAAGTTTGTGTCAATAATTCTGGGACACTCTATGCATTGTTCTACTTCCATCTGCCGATTTATTCTACATTTAAAATCACAAATACCTCGTTTAATATCCCGATTACTCTAATCTTACAATTGGATCATTATAATACATTTAAATGAACATTTGATGAATGCATTGCATTGCTTTTCGATAAAATGTTTAAGTTTTATTATTATTGATATTAGTTATACAAATCCAAATTCGCCGTAAAGCCATATGATATCCAACAACAGAGTTTAAAATTACAAGTATTCCAATCCATGTTCGATTCAGATTCGACATTATTACCTATAGAAATAATCTCTCATTTCGTAATTCTGTATTCTGTCATTGATTAAAATTTCAGTTAAGCTTATTATGTATTTGATCTCGCAAACTACGTTCGCAATATTTGTTAGTCATTTTCGATTAATCAAAAATAGGGTTAATATCAGTTAATGTTACAAGAATAAATTCAGGTTACGCATTTGTAATATGCTGAAGATAAAGTCTATGAGAGGTGTTCTTTATTTAGTAAATCAGTTATACTTAATTATTAAAAGAATATGTTGTTGTTGCTTATACCACCTGTCTTACATAGTCAGATCGAGGCCCACGAAACTCGTCTTGGCAACGGGCTAGACCTACGCTTGGCGTTAACCTAAGCTTTGAGCCCCCTGAAGGTGA